TAAGCTCTAAATAATACTTGGAGAGACATGTAAGAAAGAGGCACCTGAAAAGCACGGTTAAGTCAGCACGTGTATGTTGAGAAAGTGCAAGACTCAAGTTAACGTGTGTCTTCCAGATACTTTCATATTGCAAGTTAGGTAAGCATTTGGTAAAATGGTGAAGCTGCAATGCTTTTTGGTAGCGAATGCACTGCTGTACTTGGACGTGGTGAAGAAACAGTACAGTATCTTAGAGAGCAGCTGACTACAAGAATGCAAAACACTGTTATCACTCTTGTTCACTTCTTAGATCAAGGACCTGAAAGATTAGTAGAGGTTAATTAATATCTGTTGAAAAACAGAAGAAAAATATTGAGTGTGAAAAGCCTGTAGTGTACGGTATCTTTGTTTTGGCTTATTTCTGTTTGGGCTTTTGTTCCAAGCGATAATCTGTAACAGCAGGAATAGCAGCAGCAGCACCAATGCCTGTTACCCAGTAGCTGCCCTAGTTCAAACCAATAGCAATGCACGACCCCACCACAGCAAGAGAGCCGTACACTTTACACTTCCTGGGGATGTGGTGAAATATTCATACACAATCAGAAGTTACCCGAAAATCAGAAAATTCTATCTGTGAATGCAGATCACGGAAAGAAAATTCTAGCAACAGTTTATTGAAAGTTTTGATACATGAGAAAACCACATCAAGTACTGCTAATAATGTTCCTGAATTTATCAGTTACTGGTTACACTCTAAGCATAAAATAACTATATTAGAGACACTAAGTCTCCAAGTACTTGTCCACAGTTTAAATAACCGATGTTTCATGACTAAGGCAGAGCTACAAAAGAGATTTCAAGTAGCAGGAAAGTATCTTAAGAAGTGTGCCATGCTGTAAGTGCAGGGGACAAGGTCAGCCACTATGAATATTAGCATTCTTTTCTTCATAAAACGTAATATAAAAACTCTACAATTCTGAGATGCACTACAGACAGATCATATTAGTTTTTCTGCTATCTGAGCAGCACAGTAGTTTCTGGTTACTAATGCCACAGACAACACTGTTCAGAAAGCAAAATTTCTATCACTCTGCTCATACTGAACAAATGCCGTACCTTTCTACATATCCTGCAGATGCTCCTACCAGACCATCAAGTCTTTCCTGAAGAGCTGCAAGAATCTGAGGATTTTGCATCATCTGCACTGTCAACTGCCGAGCTAAATTAAAAAAGAAAATTATGTTAAATGCAAAGTGCATCTTTTGGAGTGGTATCACTAAGCATGATTTTTGTTCTGTTCACAGTCAAACAACTCGGCAGCAAATTACTAAGCAACTAATCAAAAAATAAAAGATAGACACAGACATATTTACACATGATTTTTTTTTACACCCAAAGCTTCATAAGTGAAGTTTTAACTGTTTTTAGTTTTGAAAGAATTCGGTCACATACCCACAACAATCCTGTCTTTTTCAATTATAGAGGTGGCCAGCACTGCCTGAACTGGTATTAACCATGACTAAAATGAGTAACTGCACACAAATAATAAAAATCACATCACTGGCGGGGGGGAGGAAAAAGTCCTTGCTTCAGAACTTAAACACAGTTGTACACTCAAAATTGTTTTATCATTTATTGTTATTTTTAGCGGTAAAATTCTTTTAATACATTAACTGGAAAGCACATATGAGAAACCCTTGGTTTCAACATTACCTTTGCTGTTGCCATCTTCACCAGATTCTTCTTCTTCTACTTCTTCAACATCTTCCATATCCTGCTGATCAAGTTCAGACTGCTCTTTGCTATTAAAAATATTCAATAACAGGATCAAGAAGTTAACTTTATAAAATATTATAATGAGTTTAGAGATCAAACTATGTGAGTAGGAGCAAACCTTTGCATCTTTTACCTATGATAAACTAGCAGTCTTAATAACCAAATAAAGCCAGATTTATCTTCATAGAAGTTTTACATCTGACAATCTGGGAACAGTTTAAAGAATGAGCAACTTCCCAGAATTATGAAGTTTCCTTTTTACAGAAGAATTCCTTCATCTCCGGTTCTTATCAACCAGTCAAAGCCTCCTGCTCTACAGATCCTCCTTATAAAGATGGGCAGGCCTTGACAACTGTGGGTAGGTTCACCTAAACTATACTTCAAATGTCACAAAATGTGAGCAATTCAAAGTATAGAAAAAAAACCTACATACAGCAAAATGGTAGTAATAGGCAATACTACCTGGTTTTCCCCTCCAGAATTCCAACTAACATAGTAAGTTGACTTGCGCCACTTTTAGATTTACTTCCAATTAAGATCCCAAACCCAGTCATTGTGAGCAACTCGTTTTTCTCCCACATCCTACAGACCTCACATCTTGCCACAGTGCAAAGGTCAGTATCTAGACCCTGCCCATCAAGTGCCTGGAGATCCCAGCCATCTGAGGTACAGCACAGGACACAGAGCCTCAGTAACCTACAGATTTTACTTACTTGTCTATGTCTGCCATTCTGCTAGATTTCCAACACTAGAGGAAAAAGAAAGAACACATGAGAACAGCAGCACTAGATTTCAGTTACAAAGTCTACAGTGGTCAAGTGCTCTAATACTTAAAGAAACACAAACCACGTCAGCTTTATGAAACAAACACATATTATAGTCTGAAGAGTGGCACATCTCCCATGCACTTTTTGAGCTCTCAGTCTAAAACATACAGAAACACTGAAAAACTTTGCTCTGGTTTAAAACCAATAGATATACTCACATCAATTAAAGTACCACAAAAATGCCATGTTGAGTTTTATATCATAGGACTCTACTTGTATCATTGTCTGAAAACTAGTCCTAAGGATAAAACAAATATAACTTGAAAAAAAAACCTGAAGTAAAAAGGGTGCTAGAACTCTTCTGGCAACTGTTTACTCATTTCCAGGACATAACTGCAGACAGAGTATACTCAGAGCTAAATCAGTTTAAAACTAAAGATGCCTTTCTGTGGCTTTACTTTTAATCCAAACTTTACAAAACCAATCCAAGTAGTTCTTCAGAATACACACAAAATTCCAACATTTTAAACCCCCCCCCCCCCAAAAAAAAATTATGACAGGCGCCAAGCTACTTCAGATGACTTAGTTTCCATGTCCTGAATGATCGCAAATTTCTTAGATATCTCAGTATCATCATAAACACATTGCAGACTCAGTAACTTTTGATGTCGAGACTACTGCAAATCTTGCATACCATGAAGCATCTGTGTTCTCATATGTATTATGCATAACATTTTCTGCCAGCAAAACAGTACTTAGGAGTCTAGTATCCAAAAAGATGTTTCGGGTAGTTTGAAGTCAAAGATAATACTATGCACGAGAAAACATTTGTCCTGTTACTGCCATCTTAGGCCCAATAATTCAGGAAGCTCCAATTAACAGAAATAATCTACATGTCCACAAAGCATGGAAACCATTGCTTTAGAGTCCCCATTTTAGCTGCTGTCCTGTAAGCTAAATAAATTCAAGTTTCATCCAGGAATTTCAACTCCTTATAATGCATTCCAATGACAGTTTAAGCAAAGTGTTGGAAGGATATGTTCCAGAAAAAGAGAAAACCACAAAAAAATCCCAGTAAGATCAGGATATTAACAGTCAATATGAAGAAACATGTTAGAATCTAGACTTTAGAATTAAACACCTACATTCTATGTAGATAGAATCAAAACATTTTTTCTGGTGTCATAACTACTTCCCAACAATTACGTGGAAAGGAAGTATCTGATGTCCTCGTTTAGAGCCAGAACTTTACAGTGCCATTAAAGTATTCAATTCCCTAATATGCAGAAAAACTAGAGAACCAATTCCTTGTCCATCTATTTCAGAAAAAATAATACAACACTTGCTATCAAATAGAATAGCAGCACTGCTGTGAACCAAAGTACATCTAACAATTCAGTAAGAAACAGAGGAATTACAGTAGTATTCTTGACTCATTTTATTTGGATCACATTTGCCTGTCTTATGATTTCAGGTGTGCACATGGATGCAAGCTGTCTATACAACAATTCCAGAGTCTCCTTTGGATATCGTTCTCAAAGCTAGCAGGGACTGAAGAACTACAGAAACTGAGACCATACTACAATTGCAACTCTTATTTATGGGTCCCTGGATTTTTTGAGAGACAATAACAATTACCATTATTTTTGATTTATAGAAGATTTTATACAGTTTTTTCCTTACATACTTCCTCTTAACTTGTTCTTAATTCAGGACCTTTTCAAGGAGACTGATAGTATTGCTGTGCAGAAGAGCACAAGATGCACAGTTCACCTGCTTTTCACACATTTTCATGCAAACGTGACAGTGATGCTGTTCACCAACTACTGCTCCTTGCTGAGACCAGCATTTCCGCTCTCCATTCTTCCCATCAAATACAGCTTCAATTTCCATACAACTAAAGGCAGTTATTTCAAAAAAACTTTAAGAAGCATCCATCCCATCTCCAATACTGGTCATTAGCTGATGCCTTGGAAAAAAGTAATGACATGGTAAAGAATTCCCCCAGAAATTCTTCTAGCTTTCAATCATGTTCAGAAAAACACACTGTCTCAGAAATGCAGGTATTTGATAATGCCATAACTGATTTTTATTTCATAAACTAGTCCTCATTTTCCCCAAAACCATGTAGGTCAGCTGCTGATATCACTCAAGTATAAAAGCACTAAAATCCTGTTTCTGAGTTGCAATATTCAGCTTAAAGTCAGATTTTTCTACACTGCACAACCCTGTAGCAGAGGAATTTTCACCAGCAGTCTCTCTGTTCCTGAATTCCTCAGAGGGCCCTTGTTTTTACTGTTTTGAACAACTACTTGTCATCAGCAACTTCTGTCCATCCTTTCACTGACCACCCTCTTTCCGAGATCACTTCTGACCGTGCTGAAGACATTCATCTCACTACAGCACCCTGTGGAATTCAAGCATCTGCCTCATTGCAATGTGCAGTTATCATCCTCTGCTTTCTGGCTTTTAAACAACCCATGCAAGCACTGTATGTTTTCAAATTATGACCCAGTTTACTCAAAGACTTTGAATAACATTCTTCAAAGATTTTTTTGAAATTAAAATAGACCGTATCAAGCAGCTGTCAACTTCAGAGCCCCCCTCTAGTGTTTGCCTATCTCTCCTACCACTTTTTCCTATTCTTGCGTCAGTCTTTCTCATGACCCATCCTTTAATCTTTCCTCCACTTTTTACACAACTCAGTATCAGAACATTTACAGTTAGAAGAGTTCTTCCGCAAACTGAGGAGACAGTACTGTTTGTCATAACACTGTCATCTGCCAGCTCTAGACAACAGTTCCCAGAATGAGAGCTGCCAGCAGAACTACACTGGTAGACATTTAGACCAATCTGTGCAGCCCACTAGCATGGAAGGTATATAGTTGCATCACATTTACTTGACTGTCATCTGCTTAAACAACCATAAGCTTCTCTGCAAACACAGTTCTACTGGTAAAAAAACCCCAACAAACAACAACATAAAAACCTGAACACACAAAACCAACAACAAAACAAAAATAAATCACCCCAAAAAACCAACTGTAGAATAAGAAAAGCAGTGAGAAAATGCATTCCTTGAGAGTAAATAACCTCCACTATCTTTGCACAATGCCTAGTACAACATCCCAGTCTAGTCTCCAGAATTTTGAATCCAATATGTACCACAATCAATAATACTAAAATATATCACTCCAGTATTTCTTTTCCAGTATCTCCGCAATACTAAGTATTTCACTATTGTACTGGTATCACTCTAAGACAGAGCTGTCCTTCCCAGTTCATTTCATAGGTGTATTTCATAGGTGCATTCTGGATTGTAAACTGCAGCTGCAACTTGAGCACATGAGCATCAAGAGGCACTCACTGGCATCACTCCCTGAAGCAGACCCTGGGAGATACCAATTCACCAGCTGTCAGTGCAGAACGGCTGGCTACAGTGGTGTGTTACTTCAAGCGCAGCGTCTAGGCAATTGCTTTGGGCTGAGATATTACTTAGAATCTAGGCCTCCTGACTGCAAGAAGAAGCTTAAGAGCCCAAAAAGGGTAGCCTACACTGCTGTACAAAAACCAGCAGGCAAATAACCTCCTTATTAGTAAAATATTTTACTTCTCTGTTATTTGAACAGCTACAGTCAGTAGCACTGCATTATGGTCAGAGGTCTTCACTACAATGTTTTGCTCCTCACTGTAAAGATATGCAGAGGAAAAGAAAGAGTTAGGGCTTGAAAGAGAACGCATAGGAAGTTTTTGTTACAAAAAAGCAAGCAAAAGTACAGAAAAGTAAGCTACGATGCAAGTTTTCTAAAGGTTGAAGTTTAAAGCCTCTTTCATATAGGTAGCTTAAGCCTGTCTGCCATCACAAGAAAATGTGTTCTTTATTGAAATGGAAAGGTTAAGAAACTTAATCTGGCACAAACTTAGCCATAGTTTTGAGTCCATCCTGCAGAAATACTGAAAATTGGAAAACCTCTCTAAAAATTTACATCTTACCAAAACAGTATAACAATTTGCTATTTTCATTATGCTTAAAGGACTCTTCTCCTTTTTAATGTCATGTTTTTCAAGAAATTAGATACCTGCAGAATCTAATAATGATATTGCCATGTATTCATCCTCAAATTACCCATTAGTACATTTTCAGGGGTTTTTATATTTTCACTAAGTGATTTTGCTCAAGTGAAGGTAGAAATATCACTCCTTCATTCACACAGAAACTATTCTGAGTTTGCACAGCAGCACCAGCCATGTTACCTCTAGGACACACACACTTTGGTGGGAAGCCTTTTGTTTTTGAAGATCAGCTCTAAGTGTCCAAAGCAAGTATGCAAGTATTAGATTACCCGGACATCCGCTCAGCCTCAGGAAGACAGGTCACAGCAAGGTGAATTGAGAGTCAGCTGAGGAAGAAAGATAGTCCTGAGACACAGTTCCTCCAGCAAAACAACAGCTTTTTTGCAACAAGCCCTAAGGCTGGCAGGCCACCAACATATCTCAGCTGTTCAGCATCTCTGAGCATACCACACCAAGAAGAGCACCCATTCCCTCTCTTTCAGTAAACATCTTTGCCCCTTCTCTACAGGAATTGCTCACACAATTACCTTGGAATAGCAAGTAAAAGAAATTTTGCAAGTTGTTCAAGAAACACAACGAGCTTTGAGAGGCTATCAGACCTGACCTACACTCAAGCCAAGATCACTCGCTTTTAAAAAGTGTTTTGTTTTTTTTTTTTTTTTTTTTTTTTTAACTTTTTAAAAGAAACCTACCCTTCTGCCCAAACTGATTTCCTCAGTAGTCAGTAATTCAGACAACGGCAAGTCAGCCTGTCCATAGAAGAGCACATCAGCCTCTTCCTGTCTCTGGCAAGCCTTGCGCAACTGAAAGCAATACATTAATAGAAAATACCTAAAACAAGTGAGCTCTTCATGGGATTAGGAACCTGCAATGTAAGATAACAAACTAAGTGGTGGACTAAGTCAGATGTCAGTGAAGAAAAGAGAGGTCCAGCTGGAGGACAGCTAGTTGTATTAAAATATCATCAGGATTAAGTCTTGTAAGCTATTTGCAATATATGCAGAAACCAAAGGTGCCAGACAAATGATATCATACCAGCCAAGTTCAACTCTCACTACACAGACTGGGAAACTTGAGAGCAATATATTCACTACAAGTCACTTCAAACTGATGTTCTTGCCTAGCATTCCAAGTGGGTGAACTGTTTAAAAAGTGCACAGTACACGATGGAGAGTTTCACACCTCAAATGTCTTGGTACAACAAGACAAAAAAATACAACTCCCCCAAAATATTAATCATTTCACAACTGTTAGTAGAAGCTATGGTGCTAATCACCAGGTGTGAAAATTGTTACATGAGAAAGCATCATACAGTTCAGGAGAGCATTTAGCTCCTCTTCAAAAAGCAGCAATTGCATAAAGTATCAGGTTAAAAATCCCATTTCTAAAGGGACTAAAGCAGAAGACCAAGTTAGTCCTTTATATTTATATGACTGAATTCACACATCCATTATCATTAGCATGAAAACTGGTCATGAAACAAGGAGATATTCTACCTATTAATATCCTGAGGGAAGACCTCATCACTCTCTATAGCTACTTGAAAGAGGGTTGTTGTCAGGTGGGGAGTGGTCTCTTCTCCTCCCTTCTGAAAGGATGAGAGGAAATGGCCTCAAGTTATGCCAGGTGAGGTTTAGATTGGATATTAGGAAAACTTTCTTTACTGAAAGGGTTGTCAGGCTGCCCAGGGAAGTGGTGTAATCACCAACCCTGGAAGTGTTAAAAATTGGCAGATGTGGCACTTGGGGATACAGTTTAGCAGTGAACATGGCAATGCTGGGTTAATAGTTGGATTTGATCATAGAGGAGAAGCTTTTCCCAACCTGCTCTCTCCCCTTCAAGTGGTGTTTTTTTGCACTTCATAATGGCTCCTGAGGTAAGGCATCAACTTCAGCCATTTGCCGATGCAACCATTTCATTAGTGCTTGCAGGCCTCTGCACAATATATGTATACACGTTACACCATGAAAAAACATTTTTCACATTTCAACTTTAAAGTGCTCTATACTTGCATGAGAACACCAGTTACTTGATGGGGAAGAAGTCAAATTTCTCAAAACAAAATGGAACGATAATATATATATATAAGTAACTCTGTTATTAGTAACTGCAGGACTTGTTTTCAGTCATGTGGAAGGAAACCCTTGTTAAGCTTTCCCCTTAACTAATTTTTCAATTAGCAAATGAAGATTCAATCAACAAATACGGAACTCCTATCTTTGTAGCAATTTTATTGAATTTTAGATAGTGCTTGTTTACTCTTTCAGCAGAAAAGAGTCTCCATTATGAGAAGGAGATGGACTACAAAATTACAATTTAAAATAAGGCTTAAATTATATCTTCATGTTTGTCTCTGCCACTGACCTGAGCTCCCTCATCAGGTTCTAAATATAGGGTAATTAACACACAATGTTGCCTTTGTTCTGGATGCCAAGATTCTGCAGCAGAAAACCTAACAATTTCCTACCAATTTCTATTTAAAACAATCTTTCATTATTAGTAAAGTAACAAAGAAGTTTAAATTAAAATCTGGAAAAAATAAACAAATATTCTTTTTTTTAAACAAACTAGTTGGTTTGTTACAGGTTTTACTTTCCATCAATGATAATGGGAAAACAGCAGCCATTCTGAAGGGCTGAAATCAAAATCTTTATGTATTAAGAAATATTTTAAATTTCCTAAGAGTATGTCTCCATACAGTTCACATAGGTACAAGTACTCAGTTTGTTTAAAAGTGTTAAAGAAACAAAAGTAACAAACTGTGTTTTAACAAAGTTCTTCAGGTAGCAGGGTGCACTTCAGCAGTTTAACAGACCAACTTGTACATGCCACAACATCAAAGGAAAGGAGAGCATTTGTTGGTTACCAAGATCACCACATAATCAAACACAACCAAACTGGCAGTTATACTGCTATCTGCAAAACTCAAACACTGCAGCATTAAAGGTTTTATCCAATTTGACTTAAAAAACATCTGAGCGTCCTTATCTAAAAAGAAAGTTAAAAAACACTGAAAAAAATGTGTACAAGTTTCAAAAGTGTGTCTTTTTGTTAGAACCTCTGATGAATGCAATATTTTAAATTCATTCAGTCCCCAAGAAGCCACTAAAATTCCTAAGATACATTCAGCAACTCTTTTGTTAGCCTCAGTTCAGGATTTTTAACATGGAAGCCAAGCCACTAAGAACCTACCACTTTTAAAACATTCAGTTTTCAAGTAACAAGCTAGCCTGCACTTAAAAAAGAACACAACCACAACTTGACACATTTTGGAGTCTCTTAGGGGTGAGATGTTACAACTGGCAGTTAAGGCCAACAGAAGTATGGACATGGTTATGGTTTCAGCAAGTCACTTTCAAAGGAATACAGGTGACAGAAAAAGCAATTGTAAATATGTACTACACTTAGAGAGAATTTGAACCATGGAAATGAGCATTATTTACAAAGTTATCTTCATTGAAAGTTTCTTGTGAATTTCACTCAGTTAAGTTTTTGGCCCCAATACAGAAGTATGGGATACCTCTTGGGAATCTGGAGTTGTCCCAGCTGACAGGAAGCTGGTGAAACTTGTCCTGATTTCCAAAAAAGGCAAGAAGGAGGACCCAGGAAACTACAGGCCTTTCAGTCTCACTTCAGTGCCTGGTAAAGTTATGGACAAGATTATTCTGAAAGGTATTGAAAAATACCTGAAAGACAATGCAATTATTGGTCACAGCCAGCACAGCTTCATGAGAGGAAAGTCCTGCTTATCAAACCTGATTTCCTTTAATGACAAGGTAGACCACCTAGCTGATGAAGGGAAGCCAGGTGATGTCATCTTGTTGGATTTCAGTAAAGCTTTCAACACTGTATCTCACAGGACCTGTTTGGACAAAATGTCCAGCACACAGCTGGATAAACACATCATGCGGTGGGCTCAAGGGTCGAGCACAGAGGGTAATAGCGAATGGGGTAACATCAGACTGATGACCTGTCACTAGCGGGGTTCCACAGGGCTCCATGTTAGGCCCTGTACTAATCAATACCTTCATAAATGACTTGGATGCAGGACTGGAAGGGATACTAAGCAAGTTTGCAGATGATAAAACTGGCAGGAGCTGTTGACTCCCTTAAAGGCAGGAAGGCCCTGCAGAAAGATCTCAACAAATCAGAGCACTGGGCAATCACCAACCGTAGGAAGTTCAACAAGGAAAAGTGCTGGATGCTGCACCTGGGATGGGGCAATGCTCGATGTTCATACAGACTGGGGAATGAGATGCTGGAAAGCAGTGCCATGGAAAGGGTCCTGGTCTATGGCAAGTTGAATCTGAGTCAGCAGTGCCCTGGCAGCCAGGAGGACCAATCATGTCCTAGGGGGCATCAGGCAAAGCATCGCCAGCCAGTCAAGGGAGGGGATTGTTCCGCTCTGCTCTGCACTGGGGCAGCCTCACCCTGAATATTGTGTGCAGTTTCGGGCACTGCATTGTAAGCTATTGAAGAGTGTCTAAAGGAGGGCAACAAGGATGGTAAAGGACCTTGAGAGGAAGCTGTGTGAGGAGCGGCTGAGGTCACTTGGTCTGTTTAACCTGGAGGAGAATGAGGGGTGACCTCATTGCAGTCTAAAATTTCCTCATGAGAAGAAGATGAGGGGCAGACACTGATCTCTTCTCTGTGGTGACCAGTGACAGGACCTAAGGGAATGGCCTGAAGTTGTGTCAGGGGAGGTTTAGATGGGATATTAGAAAGAGGTTCTTCACTCAGAGGGTGGTTGGGCACTGGAACAGGCTCCTCAGGGAAGTGGTCACAGCACCAAACCTTCCAGAGTTCAAGAAGCATTTGCGTAATACTCTCAGGCACATGGTGTGACTCTTGGGGATGTTCCTGTGCAGGGCCATCCAGAGTTGAACTTGATGATCATTGTGGGGCCCTTCCAACTCATATTCTGTGATTCTGTGAAGATGGTAATAAAAGAATCAAGAGGCTGTGTCATGAAGATCTCACCAGGTCAAACAGAGCAAGCATGTTCCTGATGATGCTACCTTGCACATGCAAGAAATAGCATAAAGCACTTACACCAGCTCATACTTTACCATTCAAAGCCAAGATAAGTAATTTCAAAAACCGGGGTGTCACAGAATTAAGAACTGCTTAAACCAGTGACCCAAGTAAGGTAAAACAAATACTATTAAAACCTAAAGTAAGACAAATCAAAAGATGTGATTCTAACTAACTTAGAATTCAAAAGGTCAAAAAATTTCTGTGCAAAGACATATAACTGCATGCAGCCCGCTAAAGACTGCTACTCAACACACAGAAGTAGCAAGACCTGAAATGAATGCATGGTAACTAAAACACACAATGCAAAATAAGATCATCATAAACTTCAGTAATGTATCCTTAATAAAAACTGTATTCACTGTTCAGCATTGCAGAAGAGAGGAAATAGCTCAGTTCAGGGCCTAGCAACATGAATACCTGAGGAACAGAAGCATTTTACATCTTATAGTATTTGAGAGGTGAACAACAAGAAATGACACAAAAATACCTACATTAACAAGAAGTTCAAAAAGAACTGATTCAAAATTGTTTTCCACGTAAAGAGTTAATTGTTTTATTTCATGTCCCCTCCCTGTGGTCCTCAACTTGATCTTTTAATGCTTAAGTCAGGTTTTTAACTAAGGTCAGACGCAGAACTCTCCCTCATGGGCAAGTCATCCCACAAGCGATGTGAAAGAAATGCCTTCCTTTAAGCATCACATATTAAACAATATCTAAATAAAGTAGTGGGCTGAACTAATCTTAGTGCAGATGGTCAGAAAAGACAACAAGCATTTATGATTTTAACCTGGGTCTTAGAAATCTAGGTGTTTGTCCATTCCAGATTTCAGGTACCCACTTAGTCAAATCCCTTAACCAGAGTTTTCAACACTTCTACTACCTCTCGTGTTTTGGATGGAGGTTTCTTCATTGTTTGGTTGTTATTTGGGTGGTGGTAGTGCTATTTTTTTTAAAGAATAAATGTAAAATCAAGCAATTGAATGCTTCAAGGCTACAGGTACCTCCAAAAACCAGTTTTCACATCTAAAATTTGCTTTCACCTTGTGATCATAAAAAGCTACTAAGGATAAACTACTAGTATTTTGTTCCAAAGTCCTCA